ATCCTTCAGGTTTCTTTGGCAGTCCTCGCGAATTTGTGAGAGAACTTTCTGCTCATCAAAGTCTTTCCTTTGGGATTCCGCTTAAATGTCATTGTCAATCTTTGAGCGGAGAAAGTAGAACAACTTCTTCTTCTCTTTAATTGCTTTAGCCAGCATGATGTCATTTTCTTTGAATCTCTCTGAGGAGATGATGATGAAGAAGTCGAAGGTGTCAAGTTTCACCTCCTTTAGATATTTTTTGGCTTTAAATTTGGGACTTCCAGTCCCTGGGAGATCCCATAATTTCACATTGGGCATTGTAGGATGTGTGTACATTGTTGATGTCATTGTCGTCTCAGTCGCTCCCGTGGGAGCTGCATTGACATCATCAGGTTGAAGACCTCGTATTGCATTGATAAAGCTGGATTTTCCTGCTCCAGCTGATCCTGTAACAGCAATATGAAGTGTGACGTTGTCCAGTTTCTTGAGTTGTTCTTTCACACTTTCTGTTACATAAACGTATTCCGCAGAACTAGTGAGCATAGCATCAGGTACTTCATATACATGCTCGTCTTCTTGCTTTTTAGCCGCTGTGTCTATACTTTCCCTCTTCTCTGAGCTTTCTGATTTTAAATGTGTGTTCTCATTTGCTTTACACTGAAACACATTATCTGTGTCATCTTGTGACTTCTTGGCATCTGGACACACTGCTCCACTGAGCAATTCTTGGTTCTGTATCTCTATAACCTCCACATTTTCCTCTTTAGTGTTGACTTTGTTTAGTGGTTCACTAAAATTAGTCTTACTGAGTTTTTCTGTCAAAATATCTTTTTCCATTATAACATCACATGGCTCTTGAAAATGGTCTGTTTCGACACTGTCAGGTTGTTTTGTTTTGTGATTGTCTGTATCTTTTCCACACTCAATCATTTCCCTTGCTTCCTCGTTTGTCATCGGAACTGAACATTTTAGTTATTTTTGTTCCTCTTTATCAACAGCCTTCACGTGTTGTTGTTCTGTGGTCACTTCACATGGTTCCTTAGCCTCAGTTTGCTCTTTTTGCTCGAGACATTTTTCCATTTGTATCATGTCAAAATTACACACTTCAGCTTTTTCTGACTGTTCTACAGTTGTTTCATTTGTTATATGTATCACTTCTTTCTCTGCTTGATTTTCTTTATCACTCTGTTTTTCTCTCTCTCTCAGCCTCTCTCTTTCCTTCACATCATTAAGTTTTGTCCAGTAATGAACTACTTTGTTTGGGTTTCTCTGGTTGTTTCTCCATAGTTTTAATGATTTTTGATTGGACGATTCCTAGGGTCTCCAACAATTCTGTATTTCTCTGTTGCTCTTTCAACACAATGTCATCGTGAAAGGATTCAGTGAGGTTATCGGCTACTTCTGTCTGATCAGGATTTGTGTAGTTTCTGAGGAAAGGGTCCATAAAGATGTTGACTTCTGACATGATGACTCTGAAAAAGTAAAGCAACTGGGTAAATGTCAAGAAACATTCAGGGGTTTTCTGCCATAAATGCAGAGTTTCTAGTACATTTTTGCAATGCTTTGCAATGATAGTTTTGCAGCAATAGTGCTATTCTGTTTGTAGTTAATATTATAAAACCAGTCTTTTATCTTGTGATGTTTTAATAATTAATTAGAATAATGCAGCTGTTTACACTAGAGGTAGCTGTCTTCACATGGCCATGTGTAATTAAAATTTTTAAATTTAAACTTTAAATTTAAATTTAAAAGTGTAGGCCTAGTTCACAAACCATTCAATACAAAATATATAATTTAAATATTTAAATATAATTTTTAAACTTAAACTGTTCTGACGCTATTATCATATAAATCTACACTTTCTCTTTTTCCTTTAAAGTAAGTCAGTGTGTTTCATACATTGAGACTTCTCTCGCGGTGCTTTTAAGTTACATTTAAATGTGTGCCGAGTAGCCTATTCTTAATGTTGCGCTGACATCTAGCGGCGTGTATACAGTGTCTTACAAATGCAAATGTACATTTGCAAAAGCAGTTGCAGAAACCATTGTAGAAATTCTGTCAGCCATTATTTATTTATTTTGCGAGCGAAAGTAAGTTGGAAGGGTGTTGCCGAGATAAAGCGAGAATAAAACTATTACTTATAATGATAAGACTGGACCCTCATGTGCATCTACATAATTTTACTCTCTTTTTTTCAGGAGAGAATATTTATATTCTCAGAAACAAACAAACCTATATTTTGTACAATATAACAGCATTAGTAAACATCAATTAGTAGACATTTTCCTACACCAATAATAGCATATGTAACGCTCCAGGATTGCGATGTGATCGAAACAAACATAAAGCAGTTAACTACATTTTTGCATTTTTAATAAGACAAACTCACCTTATCTGTGCACAGGTGGTTATAATATTGGTATCTATATATGTCTTCAAAGGATGTGGTAGCTGTTTATGACAAAGTATGATTTAGGGTGTGGTTTAGAGAACGTCTGAGAACTGAGGCTAAACATCTAGTCAGAGCTACTAGTCTATATAAGAAACCTAATATTTCCTCAATTAAATATGAATTAAGTGACAGGCTGTGGTTTAACCAAGAAAATATCAATCAGTAAATTTCTAAAACAAAAAGAATAAACAAAAGTGTTGATAAATGCACTTGCAGCAGAAGTAAATTTCTTGTATATGTGTGAGTGTGTGCATTTTAAAATATATCTGACCATATTTAAATATTTCCTGTCCATACTATCTTATCTACATCTTTTTTATCTTAATTTTTAAAAATAATATCTTCATTTTGTCTGTATGCTGTTTCTAAATAAAACACACAGTAATTCCAAACATGCACATTGCCACATGAATGCTGTTTAGCAGGAAGTGCTTTACTGGAAGCAGATCATAGTTTTGATTCTTTTTGTAAGCTGCATGTCATATGGCAAAACACATGCATAAATGAACATGTTGCTTAACATAACTTAAAATATCAATTGAAAGGTTTTACATTAAACCACCACCATTTTTGCATTCTGGCAGAGCATATTAATCAAAGACGCTTTGTCAGACATGCATGCTTTCATGTGAATACTGTTGATAAATCAACAGTGTTTCAAAGGCAGCAGTTTCAAGTATGAATCATTTAAAATGCCTACAGACTTAAAGGACTTTCTACTCCCATTGGTCTTTAATGTCTACAATAATTTTATTATTATTAGTTCCTGGTTCATGTAAGTCTGATTTGCAACTTTTAGCACCTTCCAATCTGAGCCCTGTTTTGAAGAAGATTCAGTGTTGTAGAACAAGATATTTCTGTTGTTCTTTTACTGGCAATGGTATGATCTCATGCAAAACATCTCTGCTTGTCAGTGTTCAATTTTTTCCCTCTTTGAGGCTTGCGTTTTTAAGCCACGGACAATCTTTAAGCAAAGTAAATAGCTTTTTCCTAAACAAGCACAGTCATTTTTGTTTGAACTTTGCTGAGGTCCTAATATACAATTTATATACAAATTTATATTTTGTTTATAAACAACATTTTATGGTTAGGTCTGCGTATCATGCATTATTAATCTTTTCTAGGTTATTTTTAATTTCACAGTGCTGTTAGATTTCTACCATAATATAAAATATAATATACAAATACCCATAACCTAATATAAAAAAGTTCATAATGCCATTCGTATCTCTCTATCTGTAAGAGAAATATGCAGTATCTTTGAATACAATTCAAAAACATATGTAGAATATTTATGCTCAGTATTGCTGTTCAGGTTTTGATTTTATCTCTTGAAATTGGTGATGGACAGATATGTGTAAAAAAAAAAAAGACTGATAGGAATGAATGAATGATGTTACTACTCATTACTATATGGGCGTACGTAGCAGTCTTGCATATCAAGTCAGCAGGCATATGTATGATGGCTCTTTCATTCCTGACTTTTTCCCATACAGGTGAATTTTAGATATTTTTTAGGGGGATGTAGCCTTTACTCTGCTAGTTAGAAACCTAAAATCGTAACCACATAAACATGTAAATGTATGTTTTTTGTTTAGATAATGAATAAATCTGTAAACACATAGTTCTATGATACAGCACCTACTGTAAAATGCTCAGTAGTCCTGACTAAGCAGATTCAATCTAATATGTTTCAGTGCAATGTGTAATGTCCACTGCCATGTGAACTGCTTAGCCAACATGACTATTATGAAGAAAAGAGGGGTTTTCAGTTGTATTTGTAAGTGCATGAATTAAATATATCAAGACAAAAGTAAAATAAATGGTAGCTAAGCTATGGTGTGAATGTAAAGAATACTTGTTTCTTCCAAAAAATAAAATCTTATTATGTTATTCTGGTTACCCACAACACTTCTGTTTTTAAATGTGCATTTTAGACATGATATATTTAATTAAATTAAATTATCTATGAATAAATTATATTTGTAGGTTTTAACTATAGTTTTAATTGTGATGATATATGATGTATGTATGCATGTAACGAAATGAGAATAACAAACACTTATCAGTGTATAGCAGTAATCATTTTTACATGGCTTGTTGACTTTGAATTGACCAGAACATTCGTTTTTTTTTTATATCAAGTTATATATCTGATAAAGTTGCAAACCAATAAGCAGTGTCTTCTAATTAACTAAGTCACACAGTGTAAAAAAATAAAATAAAAGAATAAATAATATAAGTCAATCCTTTAAACAAGTATTTTATTACTTGCACAAATTACAAGTCCAGCATGCATGAAGTATATACATAGAGTTATATAAAGACACAAATGAAAGAAACTGTCCAAATTAGAAAGTGTAGTTTGCATTGGTATAACAAAGTATGTTTTAATTTCAGATGCACATTCATGATCACATTTCAGTTTATTACTTTATTGTATCCTAATAAAATCATAATTACAAAAAAAGAGTATTATTGTTAATATGATTACTTGATCAATTTATTTTCAAATGACATATTTATTATATGATTTGTAAGCCTGATCTGAGGCTAATTGTTCTGCATATTAGGCAAGCTGTGACACATCAAGAACATTTTTGGTGTCTTCTGCCATCTCATTCAGTCCCATATTAAGCAGGTAGTGCACTGAAGCAACAGCCGTTCCTCCTGCTGGTAGAGCTCCTCCTGGCAGCAGAGCCAGTATGGTCCCCAGTGTCTTGGCTATAGCAATAATTGGTTTAGACAGCATATCTATCACAATATCCTCAGTGGATCCATCTTTGAAGCGTGATGTCTTAGCGACTTGTAGTTGCTCCAACGGTTTGTTCACTCGTTCTGATAGGGCCTCTAGGGCCTGATTTGATAAGCCGAAGCCCACAAAGACTTGCTGAAAAAACTTCTTTATGATGCCATAATCACAGACCAGTGACAATCCCGGGATGGGAGCTATCGCCCCGACCCCGGCCGCAAAGGCGTTTAGCCAAATAAGTTTCTTGTAGTATGTTTTCTTCTTTGTGAGGGCCTCAAGAGAATAAACGGGCAAAGACTGAATGAGAGCAAATTTCTTGTTCTCAGGAAGTTCATCTTCGAGGGTGTTGATCAGCTTCTGAAAGTCATATTTTTCCAAGTTAAATGAAGACACTAGGAATATTTTGGGTATTCCGACTTTCAGTAGGTTCGCCTTACAGTCCTCTCGGATGTTTTCAAGCAACATCCGCTCATCAAAATTTCTTTTGTGTGATTCAGCGCGAATGTCGTTGTCAATTTTAGTGCGAATGAAATAAAATAGCTTCTTGCTCTTCTTGATCGCTCTAGCCAGCTCTATGTCGTTCTCCTTAAATCTTTCAGAGGTCACTATGAGAAAGAAGTCGTACGTGTGGAAACTGACTTCTTTCAGGTACTTCTTTGCTCGAAATTTTGGACTACCAATTCCAGGCAGGTCCCAGATCTTCACGTTTGGCATGGAGGGATGTGGGTACATGCTGGGCTTCATGGTAGTCTCAGTTGTTCCTGTGGGAGCTGCGTTCTTATCATCATTAGGAAGGCCTCTGATGGCATTGACGAAGGAAGACTTCCCTGCCCCTGTCATCCCGGTTATAGCAATGTTAAGTGTAACATTCTCTAACTCCTTCAGTTTACTTTTTAGTTTGTTTGTTTTTTCTGCAGGTGGAGAGTCAATTATTTCTTGTAATGCTGAGCCAAGAGAGTCTGAATCTTCTGTGTTCGCTGTGGCATCAGACAATATGTCTACAAACTCTCTGGAAACCACATAAAAATTACTGGGTTCCTCTGGCTTTTTGATGTCTTTTTCTTTAGGTTCGTCAGGACATTTCGTCTGTACATGTTTCTCAGCTATATCCAGTTTTTGCAGCATAGCTCTTGGACTGATTGTTGGACATTTAGAACGTGGCGAATGAGCTTTTTTGTCTTTAGTCTCTTTTGTGCTGAATGAATGTGATGAACTTGATAATGATCCAGATGACTGGCTGGAGCAATCCTCTTCATTATAGGAATTTACCAAATCTGTCATGGTAGCTCTATAATGTAATAATAAATTAATGAAATCATATTTGATTAATAATAAATTAACAGTGTTAAGCACAGAGAAGTACTTTATATAAGGGTGATGCATGTTACACAATTAAAAAAAGAATATTATATATAAATGCATTATATATATATAAAAAATTTTTTTTTTTTTTACCCACCGCTGTGAGTAGTGAATTCTCTGCTCAGCCTCTGGCAGCTTCAGTACTGTCCACTGCAACATATAGTGGGACTGAATCATACAGGCAAACGTCTCACTGATATGGTCATTTCATTTCTGATCTGAAAGGCATAAAGCAACATGTTGCATCCATTTCTTAATTGCATAAAAACATAATTTGGATATTTTTGTAAAACTGCTTATAGACCAATGATAGCTGTTTATATTGCTTTAAACTTGGCTGTAGTTCTTCATTTTTTATTTATTTATTTATTTTGTTTCAACAGTACGCCTATTCATCTTTGAATATACTGATTCAAATCATATATGATTTTATTTCTTCCAAAATAAAAAATAAATGATTGGTAGAATTACAAAAGAAAGTATGGGATAAGCCATTTAAGTCTTAAGACATAAACAGCTCAAATATAACAGTTCTCAACAAAATTATTTTAAATATATTTAAAAATTGCTTTATCTCCAATAAGTAAGTTAATGTGAGTGTAAAGTTCATAATATATAATGTAATAGAAAGTTATCTTACCTTTGGTTTTACAAAAGGTACAAAACCAAATGAGCTGTGTTAAGTGCAGAACGAGAGTTTCGTAGATTTCAGGGTGTGTCCTTTATCAAGAACTTCCTCCTGACAGAAATTCCCTGAAGACACAAACATGCTCCAGATTTAATATTTGTTTATTATTAAGTTACTTCAGAATAGAGCAGAATTTGTTACTTATCACCACACAAACAGGACTGGTGGAATTTCTTTCTGTGTGTTTCATGTGATGCCCCCTTAGACCAGAGCAATCAATAAACTGTGTACAATTAACAAGTGTTGCAGTGATTTTTTTCCTGCCTTTAACCCACATTTAAACACGTCATGAAGGGTCTATCACCATGTTCTCAATTTGAAGCACCTCAAGGAGGATTGTGAGAGCACAAACAAAGATGTATAATATGTGCAAGCAATCAACAGAATTTCACTAACATGCAGTTTCCAAGTGCATTTATTGCAGCTCACCTTTACCTTAAACCCAAACCTGATCTTAAAAAAAAAAAACAGCTTGTATGCAACCATTGAAACAACAGAAGACTTAAAAGCAGGAAATGGTTTGAGACATATTCAGATGCAGAATAATTGAAACAACTGTAAATAAAAGAGAAGCAGGTGGACACAGTATTCCAGATATGCACACTAAATCCAGCAGACAATTCTCAGAAACCTTAATGACACGTAAACCAACTACTGTAGATGTGCGCCCTTGAAGAATTTAAAGTATTTATTAAAATAGAATCAACTCACAAGAGGCTTTGATCAGTGTCAAGTACAAAACACAATAATTAACCAATTAATTTGTGGGTTTCTCTAGCTCAGCTGGTGGACAATGGTGCTAGCAACACCAAGGTAAGGAATTTGATTCCCAGGAAACATGATCCAATATAAAACCTACATTTTTTTATTCTCATTTGATTTTACAGCAGAATTTTAATCTGAAGCTATTTTAATTACTATTAATTTCATTGTCTTTACTCTTATGTACTGAAAGAACAAATAATTCTCATGTTGCTTGTTATTTATCTGCTGTCAGTAACATTTCTCACAGGGAAATAGAAACTATAAAAAAGACCACAAAACCACTGACTGCAGTGAAATGATTGATGAATAGCTGAAAGTTCAAACCCATTGTTGTGAAAGTTTATTTAAATAACATATTTTGCATATTTTTGCAACTCAGCAAGCTCATACACTCTTAAAAAAGGGTACCAGGAAGCACCAAAAAGGGGGTTTCCCAGCGATCCAATCGAAGAAATTTTTTGGTTCCCTGAAGAACCATTTTTCTTGGTGCTGTAAAGAACTTTTTCTGGTACTACAAAGAAACCTTTTTAAAGGTTCTACAAAGAACCACTGATGAAAAGGTTCTTCATGGCCCCAGATCAATATCCTCACATTTATCATACTATACATTTTCTTTAATAGGTTTGTTCATAAAATAATTTAGAAACTAAAACGAAAATCCAGAAGTAACAAGACTTTACAAGATATAGGCCTATGATTAAAACATTTACATCAATGCATTATACATCATACCTCGATACTGTGTGTTAGTGTTTAATAAGGATGTGCACGAGTACTAGAGCACTCAGACTTGACAGCGATGATCAATCATACACTGTAAATAGGTTGCTGTAAATTTTACAGTAACTTACTGGCAGCTGGATGCCAGTAATTTACTGTAAAAATGTTTACAGTATTAGTACTGTAATTGCATTTACAGTACAATTCCAAAATACAGCAAAAGCAGTAATATTGTGATATTTTACTACTTACAATAACTGTGTTCTATTTGAATATATGATCAAATATAGTTTATTGCTGTGATCAAAGCTGAATTTTCAGCATCATCACTCCAGTCTTCAGTGTCACATAATCCTTCAGAAAT